GTTTAGGGTATAGGGTCTAGGGTGCATTCCTTGAAGGTCACTTCCCCAAAAGCCAAAAAGCAAAGCTTGAAGTTTTCTTTTTGTGTGCGCATCTTTGCAACCTTGGATGACTTCGAAAACTGCGCTTATCTTTCATGTTCACAAAACTGATTCAGAAGGGCTTGCTTGAAAATCAAAATGGACTGTCCAAGCTGTGTTTCCAAGAAGTCAAACCTGGAGTGTCTCCCGAAGTGGAATTCTTGCGTTTCTTTTTTGCAAGACTTGGCACTTCTGAAAGTGAACCCTTGCTAAGTTCTCAATCGTCAGAAAGCGAGCCAGATCCCACTAAGTCGGTTTAGTGCGTGTGACGTTGTTTGTTTACCCGGTACGACGTTGCGTCCTGGTCTTTGACGTTTTGCTCTGGCTCGTCCTGGTCCTTGACGTTCTGCTCCGAAGCTTTGACGTGGGGCTCCGGCTGGTCCTGGGCTTTGACTTGCTGCTCCGGCTCGTGTGTTTTGGAAGACGCTGCCAGGGCCTTCTCATCTTGGTCATCTTGATCTGCCCCTGAAAGTGCAATTACGTCCGGGACGAAACGCAACCAAACCTCCACTTTTCCTCCCGGAACCGCCATGGTCATTCTGTCGTCCTTTTCCTGGCCGACCTCCTGGCCGACCTTTCCCTCAGCAGCACGGCCACGTTGTGGAGCAGCATGAGGGCCACGTTGTGGAGAGCATGAGCTGTAGCTGGGGCCATAGGTGGTGCGGAGGGAAGCCCTGTAGTGTGCGGCATGGGGGGCGGCAGGAGCATCATCCATGGGTTCCACATAGCTTAAGCCCCGGGGCCTCTATAGGCTGGCAATGGTAAACCCTACAACCTCAAGCCCAAAGAAGCCTACAGCACTCACCCTGTTCCAGGTAGTGACGAAGAAGTCTAGAACAGACGACTCCTAACACTAATCAATGAGACCACCCTCCAAGAAGAGAACTAAACCCTAAACCCTAAACCCTCAAAGCTGAGATTACGAAACAAAAAGCAAGCAGAGCCTGCCTCAAAGAAAAGTACTCATAGGCCCCATAGTAGTTCCTTTTACCTTATAGTGCCCTTCTAGTAGTGGGTTTAGGGTTTAGGGCTTAGGGTTTAAATAGGGTTTAGGGCGCCAAAAAGCCCTGGCCCCATAGCCCCAAAATATTAGGATCCCTGTAAAGAACCTTACTTAAAGGAAGTAGGGTCATAACTCTGATCAAAATGAGGGGACTTATAACCTTACTTACTAAGTCCCATGATCCTCCAAGTAATGAGGACGCAGCGTTACTTAAACAGGGTTTCATGGATCCTTCGGGAAGGGGACCCCTAAACCCTAAACCCTAAACCCTACACCCTAAACCCTAAACCCAAAACCCAAACCCCTACACCCTACACCCTACACCCTACACCCTAAACCCTAAACCCCTAAACCCTAAAACAAGGCCAGGCAACATGAGTCGAATCGCCCGGGCTGAGCTGCTCTGGACCTCTTCGAAGCATCGTTCGGTTGGAG